TTTTTTTTTTTTTTTTTTTTTTTTGTTTCATCAAAATGAATGGTCAAAATAATGAGTAAGGTGGAAGAAAAAAAGAAAAATGAACAAATTTTATGATAATTAGAAAAAAGAAAAATTAAATTCAAAACAAAATAATTAATGAAAGTTCTATTTACTGTTTACCTTTCTTTGTATAAACAATAATATGAATGGAAATAAATTTCTGATCAAATTAAATTGTACAATTTAGTGTTTTAATCAATAAGTGATAATTGTAATAAAAAAAAAAAAGATTAATGAAAATGAATGAAAAAGAAAGAAAGAAAAAAGGAGGAGGAATTAATTAGAAAGGAAATAATTTAAAAAAAAAAAATTACAGCTAACCTTCCTCTGATGATATTGTCTTATTTGTTGATGTATAACTGCTACTATGATGAAAAATACCATTAAGGCTTAATGATGATGACCGTATGCATAATTGTTGTGGTTGGTCAATTGGCCGCTTTCGATGTCGCCCTCGTTTTTCAGCTTTTTTTTTTAATAAATTTCTACGAAAACATCGCGTAACGAAGCATACAAATGCTAATTCAACGATTGTACAAAAAACAAAAGTAATACAACCTAAAAAAAAAACATTACAATGATAATTGGTAATGCAATATATTTTTTTTTTTTTTGAAAATTTATTGGAAATTATTTTTAAATTTTTCCTAATACTAAAATTTATTTGCTCAAATAATTCTTTCAAACATGTTATTGAATTTATTCAAGTTTATTAAAATTTTATTTCCAAATTTATTTATCCAAATTTATTGGAATTTATTTCCAAATTTCTTGAAAACTTATCATCAAATTTATCCTAATTTATTGTATTGAAATTTATTTTTAAATTTACCCTAAATTGTTGAAAATCATTTCTAAATTTATCGTAATATTGAAATTGATTTCCATATTTATTCTAATTTATTGGTATTTATTTTTAAATTTGCTCAAATTTATTAATATTCATTTCCAAAAATATTAATTCAAAATTTATTAAAATTTATTTTCAAAATTTATCCAAATTAAATGTTTTAATAATATAACAAAAATTTTGTAATTGAATAATTCGAATAAAAAATTCAAATAATACATTAAGTCACTTCTATTTTTTTTCCTTTTGTGTGTTGAAAAAAGAATTTTAATTTTAGTCATTAAATTTTTTTTTTTATTTTACAAAGAACAATAACATTTTTTTTGTTTTTTTTAAATTTACTTTTATTTTTATTATTTCGCAAAAAAAAAACTAAAATTCCACTTACCAAGCATCCAAACATCCATTGCTTTAATATATGAAACCCGTGGAAGATTTTTGAGAATATTACCAAATTGAAATGTCAAAGCAAGAAGCGATGACACACCAACCGTTGTACGTGCTGGTAATGCTTTAGGTTCCATACAAAAGCTAATCCAACTTACAATAATTGTTAAATAGGTTGGTATATATGCTTGAAGGATATAAAATCCATAGCGTCGTTTAAAAGTAAAAATAACCTAAAGAAAAAAGCTTGTTAAATAATATAATGAAATATTAAATATGCTTGTATTTATGTTACAATTCGTTAGTATTACAATTATGATTTAATTTAATTTAATTTAATTTAATTTAATTCAGTTTTAATCTGATTTAATTTAATTCAATTTAATTCAACTTTGCATATTAAAATGCAATTTGTCAATTTTGCAATTGTGATTTTGTTTAATTTATTTCAATTTATTTATATATCAGACTACAATTTGTCAATTTTGCATTTGTGATTTAATTTAATTTAATGTAATTCGTATATTTTACATTAACTATATGCTTACTTATTATAATTTTTTTTTCTTTACATATATGCATATAACTGATGTCATCCATTAAAAAATTTTATGTAATAAATTGTTGGCTTAAAAAATTCGAAATTAAAAAATAAAACAAGAAATTGAAAATTGGTATTAAAAAATGAACTCGATAATGTTAATCATGTGATGCAAAATGATATCCATTTATATATTTGTTTATTTATTTATCTGTATGTTACTTATTTACTCATTTAATTAGCAATTAAGTTAAAATTTTATTCAAAGAAAATTTGGTTGAAGTAAGAGGAAATTTATGAATATTACAATAATTATAAAAAATAACATTGTAACATTATTATTTTCATCCTCTTTGCTACTAATATTTACCTGAAGTTGATCCCAATGGCCATTTGGATAAAGTACTGTTTCATTAATTATCCTATAAGAGACTAAATCAAAATCCGGTAACTGAACCGGTTTCATCCATGTAATCGCATTATCCATCCATCGTAATATTACTTCATCATTGTTATGTGAATATGATTCAAATCTTAACGCACTGAAAGAATAAAACAAAAATTAAAACTAAACAGAAATAAAAATAAAAACAATTTTACTGATTTGAATTTTACCTTCATTTTTTGCTTCATTTTTTTTTTAAATTTTTGATTCGAATTTTCAGGAAGTTTTCTTTTTTCCAGAATATTTCAATTATTTGTTCAAAAAAGAAAAATCGGATCAAATTTTATGATTTAATATTTTCTAACGATTGATTACAAAAAAGATTTTGTTGTCGGAAATTTGTTTACTACCAAGATTGAATATCGAAAGGGAATATCCTTAAGTCAAGATCACAAGGCGCCTTTACAGACATTCGATAGTTGACCCATATAGTACCATTCTAAAAATTAAATAATTTAAAAATAAGTTTTAACAATTTATTTCATTCTCGAATGGCCTTAAAATAAAATTATTAAAAGTCAATTATTTCTTATCATCATTTTAAATTTCCTCTTAAATCTTTTAATTCATTGCGATTTAATTGCTAATTAGTTTATTTTAGTTATGTGTTCATTTCATATATATATATATAAGTGTATATAAGTACATAGCTGTTATTAGTTATTGAAAAATAATTCCAGCATTCTGTTTTATAATTCAAAATAATTAAATTCTGTTTTATAATTTAGCATTCTGTTTTATAATTCAAAATAATTAAATTCAAAATCATTTCATTTTCTCATTTCGATCCAAATTTTATAATTATCTTCAAAACATTCTTTTTTTAAATCAATAATTGTTGTAAATTAATTGCGAAAAAAAGAAAAAAAGTATGGTGGATTTAAATTCAAAAATCAATAATTTCGTAAGTTTTGCATTACCGATTTCGCCATGTTTTTTTAAATATTTTGGAGGAAAATAAAAAGAATTTTTTGAAAAAAAGAATGCTAATCAAAATTCAATGAGCGAAAATGAATTAATAATTGATTTGGCATAACTTTTTCGATTAAAAATTTCACCTTTTTTTTGAATGCGTTAGTGATATTGAAAATGAAATGAGATAATTTATTAAAAATAAGAAAACAATTATTTCAAATTTGATAACAATTTTCAAAACGAAAAATTAGAAAAATATTAATTTAACAATGTGTGATAAATTTTACAAAGAAAATTTAACTTAAACAATGTAAACTTGCAAATTTTATGAAATTCTATTTCTTGATTAGAAAAAATTTGCAGTATTTTGGATTTTTCATGCTAAATTTTTGAAACGTTTTGAATTTCGGAAATTTCGAAAACTTTTTTTTTGGTAACAAAAGATGGAAAAGTGAGTGTTATAAAAATAAAAATGCAAATTTATCGTTAAATTTTTGAAAATGCAATTTTCCAATTTTTTTTTCCATATCAAGTTTTACCGTTTTCTTAAAATTTCGCCAAATTTAAGCATTTAACATGAAGAAAGTTAATTGAAAATATTTTATAAAAATATTTCTAAATGATTGAAGTAGAAAGAAAAAAAATGCTAAAATGGGAGGCTGATTAAATTAAGCTAATAAGTTTAATAATAGTTGTGCTAATCAGGATTGAAATCTTAAATCCGATTTAAATCGGCCAGAAGTAAGCTTAATTAATGGTCATTACTTGAATGCCCATCAACAGATGAATCTTTCTTCAAATGATCCTTTCTTCTTCAAATCAAATCTTTCAATTTCAAATCTTTTTTTCAAATTTCAAATTAAATTATCTTCAAATGCAAATTTATTATTTACAAAACAAATGTAAATATGCTTACTTCATATAAGATAACCATAATATTATCAGTGGGTGAAGCATGTATCACTGTTCGTTTTGCATTAATTATACAGGTATTGGGTGTCCATATATGTGATAAGAACCTGTTTGATTTTTAATTAAAATTTTTGATTTCAAAATAAATTTACAACCTAAAAATGATTCCCATGCAAAATTAAAGCAAATCTTTGAAGCGGTATTAATAATTGCTAATTAGCAAAGTATGAATTTCAATTAATTATTGCGAAAAAAAATTAAAATAAAACAACAATGCCATTTTTTTTTTTTAGTTTAGATGTAATAATATTTTGTTTAATCATATATAATTGAAGTATTTTTAAGCTTTTTGAATAGTTTCATTAATTAACTTACTTTGAATCCATTGTTATATTTCGTTTGCAAGGATTGTAATTAGTAAAACTTAATGATTGATCATTCCATAATTGAGTGTATAAAATATCAACATTAAAATCAGCTGTAATTTCATTTAATGCTGAAACATCCTGAAATTTTCGTCTTCTTTGTTTTTTTTACTAGAAATTTTGAATATTTAATTCTATTTTCTTTTTCAAATTAATTACCATCAGAAATTAAGAGTGAATATTTGTATTGCAAACGTGCACATTAATTGCATGCATCATGCAATAAATATTAGTGCATGCAATATGCAATTGAACTAGTAAAATGTTTAACAAATAAAAGTTAAAATGTTTTTTTTTAATAAAGCAAAAATTTATCAAGTAAATTATAATTGCAAAAAATAATAGACTGATTTATTGCAATGATCATTAATGAACAGAAATATCTGAGTTTATCGAATATTTTGATCGGATCAGATTAGATCGGATCAGATCAGATCAGATCAGAATAGATTAATGATTGATCATTAATTTTTTTCTTAAACATTTTGCTAAAACCATAATTATAATGTTAATTAGAACTATACCTGTACATGGATTTCAATATCTACTTGTACAGCATCATCAATTTCAGGCAATATTTTGGTATAATTTTCCATTAACTTTTGTATAATAGCATCTTCCTTCCGGAATCCTTCCGGACATTTTTGACGTCGAGCAGTTACCTGAAACATAATTAAAGTAATTTCTTTACTTTTTTTTATTCTTAAATGATAATATCTCATTAAGAAATACAACCAACCGTAGCAATAACATTAGCTAATAATTAATTTTAGATTTTTTTTAATTATTAAAAGATACACATCGTATTGATTGATTTTTACCATCTAAGTGTAAAGAAAAGAGACTAATTAATGAATTCATTTTTACTTTATCAAGTAGAATAACGATGGAAATAATTGTACTCAATAGAGATGATAGCATTGATTTGTAGGTGAATATATTCCAATTGATCAGAAGATACATTTGATGATTGGATGTAATTCGATTCTTAAATTTTATATTTCAGTTTTACGATATTATGAAAAAATGTTCCAAAGTTTTGTTTTTTTCTTTGTTTTTAATTTTAAAATTTAGGCAGAAAAAAAACAAGCGATTTATTGAAAATGTAACATATTATAATAAAATGAATGAAATACACGTGAATTGCATACGTGATACGTAAGAATACACGTATTATTATTAAGTGAGAATAATTTAAATTTCTGCTATAAGTAATGCAAAATTCCGTAGTATTCAAATATATCATTTCAAATTTCGATAATTTGTTAAAGCGAATATTTTAAAAGCATTAAAATTTAAACAGGAAAATAATTTCCTTGCTTATTTTCGATCTTAAATAACGATGATTAAATAAATTACAGAGGAAAAATTTAAGAAAAAAAAGAGAAATCAATGATTTAAAAAAAATTTTTTAATGTTGAAATATGCTGAATAAATTACTCTGAAAATTTTAAAGAACTTTGATCATTTATAAATTATTAACCAAAATACAACAAACTTTATCATTATCATTATCATTATTGTTATTATCATAATGATTTTACTGATAATTTTGACTTGCCTAATAATGAGAGAGTTTGATGCTCATTATTTTGGTAGCTTGTTTATCGGATATTTTTGTTGATGTAGAATCCAAAAATATATCAATTTAAATATTTCCATTGATAATATTAATCAAAATATGAAAATAAAATTCAGGAAAAGGTGTTGATATGATTGAAGAAATGGCTAACAAGAAAGGAAAACAAAATAGCAGAAGCATAATAATCCTGTTAAAAGTGTCATATTAAAGATTAGCTTCAGATAAATGCCTGTGAATATATTTATCTCCTCAATGATATCATTTACTATTTTTTCTTTTGCTTAGAAAAAAGAAATAAATTTTTTTTTCTTTACGGACAAATTTATGCAAAAACTATTATTACTTAACCAAATATAACTTTTTCATATATAAAATAGTAAATGTTGAAGGAATACTTTTTTTTTCTGTAAAAATTATTTCAGTAAAAAATTCCGATTTTATAAATTTCTGAAATTTTTTTGCTCAAATTTTCAAACATTATAATAGTAACCAAAAATAAAAATAAAATTTTAATTCTTCTTAATGTGAAAGATATTTTGCAATATAATTAACAAATAAATGTTGCTTGGACAAAAATACAATTTGTATCATTAATTAATCATTGTTTGTTAATTATTTCAGCGCTTATAATGAGTATAATGAGAATACAATTCATCATGGCTATATTTGCAATCATTTTTTTCACAAAAATTCATTAATTAATTATTAAATTACTTAATTATTTCAGTATCTTTTATAAATGAATTAAAGTTATTGCATATTGCTACATTTATTATTTCCCTCTTTTTTCCCCTATTTTTTCTTTTCCTAAATTTGAGTTTATACTAACATTTTCATTTAAGTGATAAATTAAAATTTATGTTATAAGATTTTCTATTTTTTATTTCTATAAAAGTTAACTTTTTTTTCAAAATTTCG